TTAAAAACACTTGTCTTTCATTGGTGGGATGAAATATGCTAATTTTTTGGGACAGGCATTTTGGGTTTTCATGAGCTGTATGCCATAATCATCAGTATTAAAACAATTAAAGACCTGAAATATTTCAGTTGGTGTGCAATGAATCTGAAATATATGAAAGTTTCATTTTTATCATTACATCATGGAAAATAATGACCTTTAAAACAATATGCTAATTTTTTGAGAAGGACCTGTATATATGTATGTTTATGTATATATATATATATATTTATATACGTACATACATACATCAGGGATGAAGAAGGGGAATTTAATATATTGGTGTCGCATACAAAACAGTCCGTCGCTGGGCAGTTTATTGTGTGACACCGCGTATGTGGTCTTGAAAATTTGAGCTTTGCACGGACATGCCCTGGGGGGTACGCTTGTACCTCCGCATACGTACGTGCGTACCTCTGCGTGTGGACGTACGCAGGAGTATACTGGGGGCTCTGAGACAGCTGAGGAAGTTGACCAGTAAACAGAAATACCTGCTCCAGTTGCAGAAATCTTATAGAAACTGACAATTATCTGCAGTGACTGCTTTAAAAGGTTGAACAAGAAAATGTGAAGTTAAAGGAAACATCCTTTGTCCCAAAGCCAGTTCATCATTATTATTTTTGGTTACTTTATTTTTCTTTCAATATAAATTGATTGTAACTATTTTCACATTATTGAACAACCAAAATCGGATTTTGTTTTTTAATGTAATAGCTAGGTATTAAAAAACAAACATTTAGCCCTCCCCAGTACCCATTTATGTTGCTTTTATTTTGCAATGTAACCAGAAATTCTGTGTTAAAAGAGGCAGAAAGAGAAGTTATGGAGACGCCACTAATGTTGAACCGGTTAACACCATATACATAACATGTCTATGGTTAACACAAACGGCTTATTTTTTCCGTTCAGCTTTTTTTTTTTGTCCAATCAGATGTGGCCCTCTAGACATTCCCATTTTTATGTCGTCCAATCAGATGTGGCCCTCCAGACACGCCCGTTTTCTATCGTCCAATCAGATGTGGCCCCCGGATACGCCTCGTCTAATCAGATGCCCCCCCCCCAGATACGCCTTCCGAATTTGTTTGCAGAGATACCTACTTCACACAAACACTGCATGCTGCTGGAAGCTGGAGAGTTGGCGGTAACCAGGAAAATCTGGAGTGGACTTTTAGTGGTTTGAGTATTCTCCTTCTAATCAAGTGGAATGGATTTGCTCATTAAGAAAGAAACAGCGCCGACTGAACTAATGTTTATAGTAAAAGTTTGTGTGTGTGTGTGTGTGTGGGGGGGGGGGGGTGTTTCCAAATGAACATTTTTTAATGTGGGGGGCCATTTGTGAACAGCAGTCTTCAGCTCTTTCCACAGATTCTGGATTGGATTCAGGTCTGGACTTTGACTTGGCCATTCCACCACCTGGATATGTTTATTTGTGAACCATTCCATTGTAGATGTGTCTTTATGTTTTGGATCATTGTCTTGTTGAAGATAAATCTCTGTCCCAGTCTCCGGTCTCTTGCAGACTCAAACAGGTTTTCTTCCAGAATGTTCCTGTATTTGGCCCCATCCATCTTCCCATCAATTCTGACCATCTTCCCTGTCCCTGCTGACGAAAAGCAGGCCCAAACCATTATGCTGCCACCACCATGCTTGACAATGGGGATGGTGTGTTCAGGGTGATGAGCTGTGTTGCTTTTACACCAAACATATCGTTTTGCATTGTGGCCAAACAGTTTGATTTTGGTTTCATGTGACCAGAGCACCTTCTTCCACATGTTTGGTGTCTCCCAGGTGCTTGTGACAAACTTTAAACAACACTTTTTATGGATATCTTTGAGAAATGGCTTTCTTCTTGCCACTCTTCCATAAAGGCCAGATTTGTGCAGTGTATGACTGATTGTTGTCCTATGGACAGACTCTCCCACCTCAGCTGTAGATCTCTGCAGTTCATCCAGAGTGATCATGGGCCTCTTGGCTGCATCTCTGATCAGTCTTCTCCTTGTTCCAGATGAAAGTTTAGAGGGACGGCCGGGTCTTGGTAGATTTGCAGTGGTCTCATACTCCTTCCATTTCAATATGATTGCTTGCACAGTGCTCCTTGGGATGTTTAAAGCTTGGGAAATCTTTTTGTATCCAAATCCGGCTTTAAACTTCTCCACAAAAGTACCTCGGCCCTGCCTGGTGTGTTCCTTGGTCTTCATGATGCTCTCTGCGCTTTGAACAGAACCCTGAGATGATCACAGAGCAGGTGCACTTATACGGAGACTTGATTACACACAGGTGGATTCTATTTATCATCATCAGTCATTTGGGACAACATTGGATCATTCATAGATCCTCACTGAACTTCTGGACTGAGTTTGCAGCACTGACAGTAAAGGGGTCCAATAATATTGCACGCCTACTTTTCAGTTTTTTATTTGTTAAAAAAGTTTGACACATCCAATAAATTTCATTCCACTTCACGATTGTGTCCCACTTGTTGTTGATTTTTCACAAAAAAATTAAATTTTATATCTTTATGTTTGAAGCCTGAAATGTGGCAAAAGGTTGAAAAGTTCAAGGGGGCAGAATACTTTCACAAGGCACTGTATATGTGTGTATATATATATATATATAAATATATATCAGAATAAATCAGAATAAACTTTATTGGAATTGCACCGAGGTACAACGCGAATATGTACGTACAGTCGTCCAAAAGATGGGCGGAGTGCACGAAGCTGCAACTACAGGAGAGCGCAGCCATTTTATCCTTATCAGATAATAATCTTAGATAGAAAAAGGGGGAGAAACATGAGGGTAGATAGTGGTATTACAAAAAAAGATCTTTCACATCTTGTCCATCAGGACACGATTTGAGACATCAGAAAACTCTACCAGCGGCTCAATTAAAACATGATCACATTTGCATTTGACATCGAGGTGTTGAGATTTGTCCATGAGCTTTTTTTCAGATCAGCCACAGTTTCTGAAGATGTTGTTTTCAACCAGCAGTTCTGATAAGCTTGCACAGAAAGTCTTGGGGGGGGGGGGGGGGGGGG